ACATAAAGAATACTAAAATAAAAAAGAGATAAAATCCTCTATGAGCTTTTTTCTTTCAGGGTGTGAGCGATCATGATTATCCACAACTTCCTAACCTTTTTAGCTCTTGGTAAATATTGTCTCGTTACTATCCATCCCAATCCCTGTTCTGTCACCCATTCAATCTCGTTAAGTAAGTTACTCTCTGTTCTCTGGCTGTCCTTATTGCAGTCAGTATGACCTGTGTGCGTCATATTCTCCAAGTTCACTTTCCTCATTTTCTATCCTAGAAATTTCAACTTTGTTTTTTTTTCAGATCCTAATTCTAAGCGTCCATTTTGTACTCACTTTCATTAAAAGTCCTCGTTGCCCACATTCTCCATCCATCGTATTCTCAACATCCTTCTGTAGAATAATAATAATAACAAAAAATTAGTTTTAACCCGTGAACATGTCAGTTTTCCTATTTTGAATTTCTGAGGAATCTTAATTCTTAAGTTAATGATTAAATAATCTCATGGAGAGATCTATGACAAGATATCCGTAAAATATCGTCTATAGCATCGTTAAATATTTGAAGTTAAAAATGAAGACAAATGCAAGTTACCAAATGCAGAAACGATGGCAAAATAAACCTCTTCATGGTCAATACACTTTCCAAAGAAGCTGTTGTAAACAAAACCGGTATCCATTACTGGCTACGTAGTGCTGGATTAAAAGCTGAAACAGAAGTTTTTTGTTTTGTTTTTTATTCCTGCTGCACACGACCAATGCTTGCTAAAAGGAAATTACCAAGCAAACATACTGAACAATTGTGTTAACCCGAAATGAAGATTTTGAGATAAATATCCAGAAACAATTGACCATTTTGTATCCGATTGTACAGTATTAACATCCACTGTTTATAAATGCCAGGTCACAGAGTGGGTCAATATAAGGACTGTAAAATATGCAAATTTTACGTGAAAGAAAACTGGAAGGAATTTATATGACCATTACTGTTGTGGCAAACCCTCCTACAGTAGAATGAACTCTTCCTCCTCTCAAAAATACAAACTGCGAGAGTCGGATAAGGTAGAAGTTGAGTGGAGTAATAGACAGAGTGCTAATCTACTTATTACTATTTGTTTTGTATATATCTTCAATATACAAATTCAACCGACTTTCATGTTCTGTGTCTTTCTTTCTGGCCCCAAAACAGGCCACAACAATTACCCAGATCCGGTTAGAGACATAGGACCTGTAAATATTTATGGGGCTTTATAATACACAGAGACAGGATCAATCAAATCGTATCGCTCAGACAGTAATCAAAACCCCACAACAACAGCATGTACTTTCCTATTGACATGGTAGTTCCACATTTTTTTCCCAAAATACTCAGTGGAAAATGTCATGATGAGATTTCTGAATTTAGGTCTCTGGTTGGGACCCGGAAAGAAATGAGCATGCAACAGAAACAAAAGAAAATAATAATTATTATTATTATTATTATTATATCCAGAAACAACTGACCATCTTGTATCAGGTTGCGCGGTATTGGTAACCACTGAATATAAAACTCGGGGCCGTTATCTGCACTTAACAACCTGGAACTTCTACGGGAAGGAAACTGAAAGAAATGAACATCACCTACACTCGGTTGCAGAGATAGGACCTGTAACAATTTTATTGGACTACAAAATACACACAGATTGAACAAAGTTAACCGCCCTGACATTGTTATGAGAGACCGAAAACAAAAAATTGCCTCCTTGTTGATATGACAATCCCAGCAGACTGCAATGTATCTGAAAGTCTTCAAAAAACAAAACAAAAAAAAAAAAAAAACAAACTATAAGAATATAAAGAACTTGAAATCGAATCCCAAGAACATCAACATCATGAGAACATCAACAATCCCTGTTGTAGTTGGAGCCCTCGGATTGACTGGAAAAAATTCCAATAGACTCATTGAAGCGATTCCCGGTAGCCCATACCTTAAAGAAATAAAAAAAAAAGTTCTTACGAGTACAGCCCAAACTTTACGATGGGGCTTTACCTATGTAAAATATGTGTCTTGTTTTTGTTTTTAATTGGTTAGGTCTCTGGTTGGGACCCGGAAATAGATGAGTATACAACTGAACCAAATATAATAATAATAATAATAATAATAATAATAATGTGTGCAAAAGAAAAAGTTTTGACTGACATGAGCGCACAAAGAGGCAAAAACATTTCTACGAAAGATTTTGAAACATTAAACAAATACAAAGACCTTGAGATAGAATTAAAAATTAAAACAGTTACTGATGTGGTTGGAGCTTTGGGTCTGGTAAAGAAAGGAACTCAACAATAAACAGGTAAAATCTCTGCTGCATCATTTATAATGGACCCCCCAAAAAACATAGTTCTGGTTGCATAGTCCATATCATTCAAAGACTTTTGTCCATTTAAGCTTTTTTGTTAACTCGATTTTTTTTTTACAAAACGCAAACGCGCGTTGAAATCCTCACTGCATTTAGTATTATTGAAGGTAACGCTAACATTTTTTATCGAGATTTACAAATCCTACGTTTTCTTCAATTTCTCAAACCAATCGATGAAATTTGAATAAGCTGATTGGTTTAGAAAAATACTTTGACAAAACCCCTACTTCGTGGTTTAATAATTTATTTTATTTAATTTTATAGGATTTCATGGCAAGCAATATTTTTAAGGAAATTTCTTTTTTTTTTTTTTCCTTATTTAACAGCAAAGAATAAATTCTTAGGATTTCTTACTCTAGAGCATGCAACATATAAATGAACAAGCGTAAATATTTCTTTCTGGAGCCAAATTCCAACTTTTTGAAGCGTTTGACCTTGTGATTTGTTTATAGTTCTCGCTAACGGAGGGTCAACTGGAAATGGATTCTTGTACATATAGAAACTTAACGAAAAGATATGCAAAAAACAGTATTGCATTTTTATTTATTAAGTATTTGTTATTTTAATCATTAAATTGTTTTTGAAATAGTCGGAGTATTTTGCACGTTGAATAATAACACTTTGAATATTTCAAAACAAAATTAATAAAAACTTTTTTCTTTTTTTTTTTTTTTTTAAGCATTTCACCCCAAGCAAAGCGGGAAGCCACTAGGACGCAAGGGGTTACAGAAAATTTAGAGCAAGATCAGATAGGAGTGATAGAAGAAAGGATGAGGAGAAGGGTAGTAGATAGATCAACGCAACTGGAGATGTCTACTTAACTACGTACCCTAGTAAAACTAATTGTATTGTGTACACACTTTGCTGTTTGCACTTCTATTTCAAAAGTTGGTTTTGATTGGTCTATGTATGGCTATTTTAGAGGGTGTGACGAATTAAATGAAAACAATAAAAAAATGTCTCCCTTCGCTTGACCTCAGGTCATTTGTTATCGTCTGGTAAGTATAATGCAGGTCAATAAGAATGGTTTTTTTGTTTGTTTTTTTTATCATAATAATAACAATAATAAGTAAAAGATTTTTGAAGATCAAAACAAGAAGATGGAAGAGAGTTCTACGAGTGAGAAGAAAAAATTTAACTGTTTATATAGAGCTTACTGTCATATCTAGGCAAGTCAACTGTAAAATGATAAGATTCTGTTACCACTCTAGTACTACGCTTAAATTCATTCTAGGTTTTATAGAGAAAAGCTCATCAGAACAATTACCACGAAAGTATTTACAGAAAAGGCACAGAGAATCTACATTCTGGCGGTAGGAAAGAAACTTAAATCGAGATGCCAGGTCAGGATCAATAATATTACAGATTCTTCTATATATTTTGTCACGGATCTCTAAACATATAGCAGAGCAACAGACCATATGTGGCAGCAATATTCGAAGCATGGACGAATGCTAAGTGTATAAAATGGTCTAGCACGACAGAGTGAACCAACTTTATTTGCGGGTGTTCTAGCAATGGATTCAATGTAGTCTTTCCACTTCATGTCAGCCCTGAATGTTAACCGGGGAAGGCGCAACGAATCGCTCTCCTGGAGCTTAGTACCAACCAGGCTGATAAAAAGATCACTCAGATGATTAATAGAAAGCAGTTATGTTTTGGAGGCATTAACAAATAAAACAAGCCATCATCACTTGCGCCCATTAAACGGCAGGCTTTAGGTCACTTTTAAGATCAGCTTCCAGATAAACCTTATCGTCTTTCTTATTGTGTTGGGTACTACTCAAGAAGAAGAAAAAGAAGAACAACAACAACAACAACAACGAGAGAAGGAGGGGGAAGGTACAGAAATGAAAAGGCAGTACATTAAAAGAAGTTAAATTCAAGAAGAAGAGGCTGAGGAGGAGGAGGAGGAGGAGGAGGAGAAACAACGAGAGAAGGAGGGGGAAGGTACAGAAATGAAAAGGCATTACATTAAAAGAAGTTAAATTCAAGAAGAAGAGGCTGAGGAGAAGGAGGAGGAGGAGGAGAAACAACGAGAGAAGGAGGGGGAAGGTACAGAAATGAAAAGGCAGTCCATTAAAAGAAGTTAAATTCAAGAAGAAGGAGAGGCTGAGGAGGAGGAGGAGGAGGAGAAACAACGAGAGAAGGAGGGGGAAGGTACAGAAATGAAAAGGCAGTACATTAAAAGAAGTTAAATTCAAGAAGAAGAAGAGGCTGAGGAGGAGGAGGAGGAGAAACAACGAGAGAAGGAGGGGAAGGTACAGAAATGAAAAGGCAGTACATTAAAAGAAGTTAAATTCAAGAAGAAGAAGAGGCTGAGGAGGAGGAGGAGGAGAAACAACGAGAGAAGGAGGGGGAAGGTACAGAAATGAAAAGGCAGTACATTAAAAGAAGTTAAATTCAAGAAGAAGAAGAGGCTGAGGAGGAGGAGGAGGAGGAGAAACAACGAGAGAAGGAGGGGGAAGGTACAGAAATGAAAAGGCAGTACATTAAAAGAAGTTAAATTCAAGAAGAAGAAGAGGCTGAGGAGGAGGAGGAGGAGGAGAAACAACGAGAGAAGGAGGGGGAAGGTACAGAAATGAAAAGGCAGTACATTAAAAGATGTTAAATTCAAGAAGAAGAAGAGGCTGAGGAGGAGGAGGAGGAGGAGGAGGAGGAGGAGAAACAACGAGAGAAGGTGGGGGGGAAGGTACAGAAATGAAAAGGCAGTACATTAAAAGAAGTTAAATTCAAGAAGAAGAAGAGGCTGAGGAGGAGGAGGAGGAGGAGAAGCAACGAGAGAAGGAGGGGGAAGGTACAGAAATGAAAAGGCAGTACATTAAAAGAAGTTAAATTCAAGAAGAAGAAGAAGAAGAAGAGGCTGAGGAGGAGGAGGAGGAGGAGAAACTGTGAGAGAAGGAGAGAGAAGGTACAGAAATCAAAAGACAGTACATTAAAAGAAGTTAAATTCAAGAAGAAGAAGAAGAAGAGAAGAAGAAGAAGAAGAGGAAGAAGAAGAGGCCGAGGAGCAGGTGGAGAAACAGCGAGAGAAGGAGGGGGAGGGTACAGAAATCAATAGGCAGTACATTAAAAGAAGTTAAATTCAATTTAAAAAACAAAGATCGGTCGTCAAGTACAGTAAATGTAAATTCGTACTTTAAAAAGAAAGAAAAAATGAAGAGCAACAAAACCACGGAAGCAAACATGCCACAATGTTATCGGAAATTATTAAAGTGTATTCTTTATTTTAATTTTAAAAGAGCTCTTGAAATTGATAAGCAAGTCTTTTTTTTGTTTTGTTTCCCTGTTTTCTTTGAGCTTTATTGGAAGCTGTTAGCAGTAATTGCTATGAAAGATATTCGCACAATAACCGCTGATGTAAAATATATTGCTTATCTGTTTTTGCACTCGCCTAACCGCTTCAAACGAGTCTCCTTTATGTTTTCCTTCTCCGAGGTGATTAGGAACTGTCATTGATAAATGACTTCAAACAGAAATTTAAAACTAGGAGCCGTTTGAATGGTTTATTTAGACAGCGAGAGAACACCGTAATTTAAAAAGAAAAACATTTTTTTCTTCTAAAATGACAACCAGAAAGATTTCGTTATAAAACAAAGAAACGAGTGCTGAACTGTGACGTGGTATCAATCCTCATATCACTAAATGCTGGGCAATCTAATCACATATGAAGTAACTTGAAGCAAGGGAAATCTGTTTCTACAGAAGGATGCTGAGCATGTGAGCAACAAAGAAGTTTTAGAGAAAATGGAAACTAAAATGACACTTATAATTAACACCAGAAAGAGACAGTTGAAATTTCTTAGGCACATTATGAGGAAAGAGGGCCTGGAAAATTTAATGCTCACAGGACAGTTTCAATGAAAGAAGGACGAAGGAAAACAACGTATAAGTGTGCTCAGGTGAATGGATGTCAGAGCAAGTTTGAAGATATATAAATAAAATTACTAAGAGCTTCTTTTTTTTACTCATTTTTACCCAATGCAAGTCCTAAGAGCCACTCTAGGTAGATGGTTAATGTTTGGAGCTACAAAAGACAGGAAATTGTGGAGAGCCATGATAGCAACGTCAAAAAATTAATTAATTCTTCAGCGTTATAGAACTGAATTCTTCCAATTATTCTCTCTTTTATGTGCTGTGTATCTTCAAGATAGTGGCTCTCCACAGCTTCCTATGCTAAGCAATATTTATTTTTTCTATTCTTACGACTACCTGATCAAACTTGTTTAGTAGCTTATTTGCTGTTTCTTCACATCTCCTCTTACATTCAATATGTCCAGTGAGTGTCCACTTCTCCAAACACTCTTTCCTCATTATATATTTAAAAATGTCAGCTGTCAGTTTCTGATTCTAGGCATAAATGTCCTCTTCCTTTCTGTTTTCTTTAAAGCAAGAAGAAAGGATATCGGGTGGATCAAAAGGTTGGTTGATCGGTGAGTAATTCAAGAAATGATATTCGATGCAACAAAATGTTGGTATAAAAAACTAGCAGTATAACCCGTCTTCGACCCGGTTTTACTGAGAATTTTTGCTGTCCAGTTGGGGCCGTTTAAGTTTAGAGGTAGCCCACCCAAAAATCAATATTAAGTAACAACATTTGCGTGCAACTGAGTCACATCTTCAAATGGGGGGTTTACAAGTTGAATGGGCAGTGGCCCTGAAAAGGGAAATATTTTACACTATTTATTTTTATTAAAGTTTTTTTTATGAAAAACATATATCCAAGAATAGTTAGAAAATAGTAAAACGTTGCTGAGAATTATAATGGACTGGAAGTAGTGGAGAGCCATTGTCGCCAACAATTTGAACTCAAAACCGGCACTGAAGAATTATCTATCAAACAAAAAAAAAATCATCGGATAAAAACTGTGGAAATGCATAAACAACATCCGAACACATTTACTCACTACAAAGATGCAACTTCGTTTCGGTGCATTTCAATTGCACCTCGACTGGTGAGAATCAAAATTGGTTATGAATTATTCTGCTTGTAAGCAGGCTGTATGTGAAACGTCATTTCCTTTTTTCTAGTTGTTTGAGAAAATAATATACATAAAGCAAGAAGGTGATGGAGTGAAACAATAGTGCCTGTTGATTGCAGTTTGGTGAAGGATGGGTGAGATGTTAAAGTGGTGGTTAGATTGGAGAAATTCCTTGTCGATAACAACGGTCAAAAGTTTAGGTACAGCATTTCCAAGCCTTCTAAGAGTGAGGGGTGGAGAAGGAAAGGTATTGGTAGTTTATATTTTATCATGCCATCCAACCAGTCACCAGTTACTGTAAGTAGTACTATATTTATCGTATTAAAGTACCAATAACAACAAGAAAATGAACGAATACTGCGCGAACTACAAATAAAAAATAACATTATTTTTTACATTAAAATTCATTTTAAATTTGGAAACGCCTCTGTACTTCTTGGCATTCGCACCGGAAGCTCAAATATAAACATTTCAAAGTGTTCTGGTGTCAAGATGAGAACAGTGTTTAGGATTCGAAAAGCGTTGGATGAGTCTAATTTAATCTAATCTGATTACTAGTAATGGTGACGTTATGACCCCTTTCATCTTCCCACGAGATCTCACACTCAACACGGAGGCCTACATCAAATGCCTCGAGGAGGTAGTGCTGCCTGGGTCAAGAGGGTGGCTGCTGGAAGACTCTTTGTCTGGCAACAGGATTCTGCACCATGCCACATAAGCAGGAGACGTCAGCCATTGCTGTCAGACAATTTCTACGGCCACATCACCCTTTACATCTGGACAACTAACTCTCCAGACTGCAACTTCTTTTGAGTATCATGTGTGGGGCGTAGTTGAGCGGGAGACCAACAGAACTCCTTGTAACACCAAAGATGAACTGGAGGCAAGGATTATGGCAACATTCACCAATTTAAGGAGGCACACTGGAGTAATGGATAGCGGCTCGGATTGAGGAATCGGAGAGCCGAGTTCGAATTCCAGTTAAATTCACTTACGTGCTAATACCCTTGGGAAAGGTATGAATCCACTTCTTCTCCCTCCCAGCTATGGGTAAATAACAAGACATACCGGGTTCTATAGCATTTCATGGCAACTGGTCCACCGCAGAAAGAAATGATAACCTACTGCGAGAAAAAGTTTGCCTCGTCAGTCCTGTGTCGAACGATACATGATCGCCTAAGCGTGTATCACGCATGGCAAATACCTGACTGACACCAACTTAAACAAGGAGATGGTCCCGAAGAGCTGCAGGAGATTCCCAAGTCATCCGTAGGCCGTGGTTGAAACAATTTAACTGAATAAATTTACTCTTTAATAATTCGAAATATTTTTGTATAATTTTGCGAGATATATCAGTTAAAATGAGATGTCACTGTTATTTTCATTTTTTGTGTCATTTAGACGACAATTTATTCATCGCACCCTGTATATCTGTTAAAATGAGATGACAGTGTTATTTCCATTTTGATGTCATTTAGACGACAATTCATCCATCGCACCCTGAGTATCTGTTAAAATGAGATGTCAGGGTTATTCTCATTTTTACGTCATTTATACGACAATTTATCCATCGCAACCTGTATATCTGTTAAAATGAGATGCCAGTGTTATTCTCGTTTTTGTGTCATTTAGACGACAATTTATAGATCGCACCCTGCATATGACATGACTCTGGCGGGATATACGATATTTATTGCATATGAATGATAATTGTAGGTCTATATTATACACTGCCGGATCAAATCTTAACGCCAGTGAAAATGAGGAAAAAAAATATCTTTTGCATTGTTAGCCTCAACCACTTATTTGAGTAATGACTTTTCAAGCGTATCTAAGATGTGGCACAAAGCCGAAAGTAAGGGGCACCCATTGAGGATCAAACTCTCTACTCAATCGTAATTGTTCTAACGAGACAAGCTTGCTAACCATTACACCTCGTCGAGGTGCCCAACTACTTATTTGAGTAGAACTTTAAAAAACGAAAATAAGACCCGATCTTTTGTAGTTTTTAATATATTTTATCTTTTTGTTATCTTTCCTAACTCTTGTTCCACCATCCATTTGCTCAGTTTCCTAAGGTAGGTCAGACGTTGCTTTCCTGTCTTTCTTTCGATCTCTCCTGTGATCTGATGGGGATGAGAAGAAGCAAGCATTTCAAGGAAAAGAGCTTTTACCGATATTAGAAAGATCTATAACATTTAATGGCCTTAAGAAATATATCTTCCTGGAATATAAACTTTTTTTTTTAATAAAGAGATTTTGTAAATTTCAACCGACAGTGAGAATTTCACATCAAAATATCCTGCTTCATATTTATGGATACGCCTCCCTCTATATCCGACATATAATGCAATTCCTAGCATTGGAGAATCTCCATAATTGGCAACTCACACGACACGAATTCTAATCTTTTGCAAAGCGTAATGATAATCTGGTTGAGTCCTCTGAAGAAAATAATCCCCGTTGCAGGAGAGTAAGGTGAAATACAAAATGATAGATATAGAGAGGGAAACGAATTGAGAATATGAGGTAGGGGGAAGCGAAGAGAGATTGAGTTAGGAGTTGAGGCGGGGGAGTATAATGAGAGAGGATGGGAGGGATAGAAAAAATTAAGAAAGAGAGAGTGAGAGGAAATGAGAAATAAAAACGAGGAAGAGACACTTGAGAAGGAGAATATGAATGAAAGGAGAAAGGAAATGAGACTGAAAGGGGGAGGGTGTGAAGTAGTTAAAGAGAAGAAAACCATGAAAGATTTGTAGAAAGTGAAAAGATCAAGGGCAAGAGAGAGACAAAGAGAGAAAAAGAGCGAGAGAGAAAGAGAGATAGAAAAAAGAGATGGAGAAAGAGAGAGAGAAAAAGAGAAAGAAAATGAGAGTGAAAAGTAAGAGAAAAGGAGAAAGAGAGAAAAGAGAAAGAAAAGAGACAGAGAGAAAAAAAGAGAAAAAAGAGAGAAAAAAGGAGAAAAAGAGAGGGGAAAGAGAGAAAAAAATACAAGAAAGTGAAAAGAAGAGAAAAGAATAATAGTAGAGAATAAGAGCGGAAGGAAGGAAGGAAGAGAGAAGGAAGGAAGGAAGAGAAAGGAAGAGAGGAAAAAGAGAAGGAAGGAAGGAAGGAAGGAAGGAAGGAGAGAAGGAAAATGGAAGGAAAGTGAAGGAATGGAAGGAAGGAAGGAAGGAAAATGGAAGGAAGGAAGGAAGGAAAAGAAGAAGGAAGGAAGGAAGGAAGGAATGGAAGGAAGGAAGGAAGGAAAGGAAGGAAGGAAGGAAGGAAGGAAGGAAGGAAGGGAAAGGGAAGGAAGAAGGAAGGGAAGGAAGGAAGGAAGAAGGAAGGAAGGAAGGAAGGAAGGAAGGAAAGGAAGGAAGGAAGGAAGGAAGGAAAGGAAGGAAGGAAGGAAGGAAGGAAGGAAGGAAGGAAGGAAGGAAGGAAGGAAGGAAGGAAGGAAGGAAGGAAAGGAAGGAAGGAAGGAAGGAAGGAAGGAAAGAAGGAAGGAAGAAGGAAGGAAGGAAGGAAGGAAGGAAGGAAGGAAGGAAGGAAGGAAGGAAGGAAGAATGGAAGGAAGGAAGGAAGGAAGGAAGGAAGGAAGGAAGGAAGGAAGGAAGGAAAGGAAGGAAGGAAGGAATGGAAGGAAGGAAGGAAGGAAGGAAGGAAGGAAGGAAGGAAGGAAATCGATTAGAAAGAAAGTAGATACTCAGATGCTCGATGGCATACAAAGAAATAAAACAGATTTGAAAGAAAGAAAAAAAGAAAGAAAGAAGAAACAGGTTAAAAGAAAGAAAAATTGAAAGAAATAATGTAGATACTCGGATTCTCGAAGGCATACAAAGAATGAATGAATGAAGTAATGAATGAAAAATGAAAGAATGAATGAAGGAACGAAATGAAAGAAAGAAATGATAGTTAAAATGGAGGGTAAAGAAAGAAAGAAAGAAAGAAAGAAAGAAAGAAAGAAAGAAAAGAAAGAAAGAAAGAAAGAAAGAAAGGAAGAAAGAAAGAAAGAAAGAAGAAATAATAGTTAAAATGGATGGCACAGAAAGAAAGAAAGAAAGAAAGAAAGAAAGAAAGAAAGAAGAAATGATAATTAAAATGGATGGCACAGAAAGAAAGAAAGAAAGAAAGAAAGAAAGAAAGAAAGAAAGAAAGAAAGAAAGAAAATAAAAAAGAAGAAAAAAACGAAAGAAAGAAATATGAACGAATGAATGAATGACTGAATGAATGAAACGATTTCAAAGAGAGAAATTAGAGGATTTGAAAGAAAAAAAAAATGAATGAAAGTAACAATCCAGATTGTCGATTCCATGCAAAGAAAGAAAGTATTTAGTGAAAAGTGAAAGAAAGAACGAAAGAAAGATAAAATAAATGAATGAGCGAAAGAAATAAAGAAATAATTTGAAAGAAAGAAAATAGATATTCAGATGCTCGATAGGACACAGAAGAAAAAAGGGATTTGGGCAAAAAGAAAGAATGAAATGGTTTGGAAGAATGAAAAACTTGAATGAAAGAAAGAAGCTACTCAGATAATCGACGGCAAAGAAAGAAATAAAGAATTTGTAGGAAAGTGAAAGAAAGTAAGAAAAAATACCGAAAGGCAGAATAAATGAAATAATGAAACGATTTGAAAGAAAAAATAAGGTAGATACTGCAAAGAAAGAAAGAAAGAAAGAAAGAAAGAAAGAAAAAAAGAAAGACGGGATTTGAAAGCACGAAAAGATTTCGTAAAAAGTCTATAAGCAAAGCAGGAAAGAAAAGACAAGAAAAAAAGAAGTTAAATAAAATACATAATTAAAAGCATTGCGAAGAAAGAATCCGAAAAAAGTCAAAATAAAAACAAAAAAGAGATTTAAGAAAGAAAAAAAAGAAACCGAAAGAAAAGTAATATATATTCTTACGATCGGTATTGTCAAAGGACATTTTATCTTTTCCATTTGTTTTTCATTCGCTGCCATCTCGTTTAACACGAGATAAACACATAATCTTTATTTGTGTAAAACGGCATTACCATTTGTAGTTTGAGAGTTGGAACAGAAGAAGAAGAAAAAAAAGCGTATCTTTGGCTCTGTGTCGGGAAATGGCGGGTATCTACTTGGGCTGACCTCAACCCAATAATGAATCCGTGAGTGTGAGAAAGTGGCAGGAACAAAAAAAGAAAAAGAACGTAGTCTTTTCACGGCTGCGAATCGAAATTAACTAAATCAAAGCGAGGCACAAAGTTTGACATTCCCAAACAAGAGCTAGTTCTGATGAACGCCAATATGTATGCCTCTTGACGCTCACTTTCAGGCCAGAACATCAAAGAATCCAGGTTCATCATCGGCTTGACATGGAAAGCGTCCTCAGCGTTTTTTAGTGATTGTCCTGACATGTACACTAGGTGGGCGAAACAGCTGCGTTTAAGATGTAAACATGTGGAACAGCCGGATTTCCAGAAGATATGAACAAATGGCAAGGAAAATGACACAGCTTTTCTAACATCTTTGCCATAAGGATATCCACGTTAGGAGAAAAATCCCAAAGACACACACCCAATTTTTCACGAGTTGACTTCTTCAGAAATGACATGGGTCAATTCTTATATATTTTGGCAAAATGTTCTAGTTTCTTCAGTTAGTTATATGCCATGTTTAATACACTCGTAGGCGATCATGCATCTTTCGATACTTGACTGACGTGTATCATACATGGCAAATAACTGACTGATTGACAAATAGACTGACAATAGATATGAGCAAGCTTAGATAGATAGATATACAGGTAGGTAGGTATCAATAAGTTGAAACACACACACACACACACACACACACATATATATATAGAGAGAGAGAGAGAAAGTGATAGATAGATAGATAGATAGATAGATAGATAGATAGATAGATAGATAGATAGAAATAGTCTGTGATAGATAGAAACAGTCTGTAATAGATAGATAGATAGATAGATAGATAGATAGATAGATAGATAGATAGATAGATAGAGTCTGTAATAGATATATAGATAGATAGATAGATAGATAGATAGATAGGAACAGTCTCTGATAAGTAGATAGATAGATAGATAGATAGATAGATAGATAGATAGAAACAGTCTGTAATAGATAGATAGATAGATAGATAGATAGATAGAAACAGTCTGTGATAGATAGAAACAGTCTGTGATAGATAGATAGATAGATAGATAGATAGATAGATAGATAGATAGATAGAAACAGAATACAATTTTTCCTGTTTCTTAATACTCTGCCTAGTTTTTATAATCTATTTTTCTCTATTCAAATGCGCCTTCGTATTTCGATGCCATATGTTCCGACCTCTGTTGAAACACTTCCCAGACATTTTTCACTTTGCTTCATTTTGGTATCTTCAATTTTGTCGTTCACATCTTGGACTGTTTCGCTTGCTGACAACCGTCCACTCTCTCATCATACCGTTTCTATATAACCCAAGGGTTATCACTTTGATTGCACTAATTAATTTTCATCGTTTTGTATGCGGTTCAAACGACATAGGTTAGACTTCTTTTTTTTTATTTGCAGTTTTTTCGTCAGAATAAATGAGCAAGAAAAATGAGTGAAAATGAAATCAGTTTGCATCGAATTCCATTATATCAAAGTGAATCCGTTTACCAATTTTATTTGTCAGTGGACTTCTTTTTTTTCTTTTCTCTTTTGAATAAAAGCAAACGCTTAAGTTGTTGATGCAAGATAAGATAGAATAATTAATTTGATGTCTGTAGACATTTGAATAAATCAGACAATCACGGCCAGTTTCACACCGAAATTTAGAAAGTGACAAAAATAACGGGAGGATGGAAGGATTTATATTGAGGGAAGATAAGAATATTTCAATGTGGTATGAATTGTAGAGATATAGAGAAATTAAAAAAAGAGCGAGGAAGGAAGGAAGGAAGGAAGAAAGAAAGAAACAAAGAAACAAAGAAAGAAAGAAAGAAACAAAGAAACAAAGAAAGAAAGAAAAGCATATATTTCGGGAAAGGGGGATGCTAAAAGAGACGATGGAAAGGATAGAAGGAAGATGTTTGAAAGAAAGAAAGAAAGGAAGAAAGAAAGAAACAAAGAAAGAAAGAAAGAAAGGAAGAAAGAAAGAAAGAAAGAAAGAAAAAGAAAGAAAGAAAAGCATATATTTCGGGAAAGGGAGATGTTAAAAGAGACGTTGGAAAGGAAAGAGGGAAGATGTTTGAAAGAAAGAAAGAAAGAAAGAAAGAAAGAAAGAAAGAAAGAAAGAAAGAAAGAGAAGCATATATTTCGGAAATGGGAGATGCTAAAAGAACGATGGAAAGAAGGAAGATGTTTGAAAGAGAGAAAGAAAGAAAGACGGAAAGAAAGATCTCTCCTTTTGCAACTTGTTACTCTTTCCAAATATCAAATCCCACTTGAAAGGAACAAGATTTCAAGTCCAACAGAATACAATGAGGCAGCAGCTCGCTATTCCTCAAAAAGAGTTCCAAGAATACTTTCAATGGTAAAGACACTGGATAATGTTTATGGCTTCAGAAGGGGACTTGTTCGAAGGAGATTAAGTGCTGAATTGATATGTGTTATAGTTTTCTTTTCCTAGCACCAGTCCGATATTTTTGGATCAGGCCTCGTAGATTAACATTTTGTTCCTCCAATATTATTAAGTCTTCTCACAATATTAATCATTTACCATAGCAGTTAACTTTTAGCGAGCTTTGGCTGCACGTATGGGGACTAAGTGAGAATCGAACTCACACCATAATGTACAAATAGACAAGTTTGTGAGCCATTACCCTCCGAGCCATTACCCATTTGTCCGCAAATGAGATCCAGTCAGTTGTCACTCTATAAATAAAGTTCTTCCTGTTTTGAGTGGCAGCTTCGTGCAACTAGTTTTTGTTCTAAATCTTTGTATTGTTTCGCTACAAGTAAGATATTTTGGTCACAATTCACAGATGAAAGAAAGAAAAACAAATGTGAAGTCAAAAAACATACTGGGTTTTTTTTTTTTTCGGAAATATATGATTTCGGATTATATATTGGAAAAGGTTATTTTTGAATTAGAGATAAATACGAATAGACTGACAATAGATATGAGCAAGCTTAGATAGACATACAGGTAGGTAGGTATCAATAAGTTGAAACATAGATAGATAGATAGATAGATAGATAGATAGATAGATAGATAGATAGATAGATAGAAAGAAACAGACAGTGATAGATAGAAACAGTCTGTGATAGATAGAAACAGTCTGTGATAGATAGATAGATAGATAGATAGATAGATAGATAGATAGATAGAAACAGTCTGTGATAAATAGAAACAGTCTGTGATAGAAACAGTCTGTGATAGATAGATAGATAGATAGATAGATAGATAGATAGATAGATAGATAGATAGAAACAGTCTGTGATAAATAGAAACAGTCTGTGATAGATAGAAACAGTCTGTGATAGATAGATAGATAGATAGATAGATAGATAGATAGATAGATAGATAGAAACAGTCTGTGATAGATAGATAGATAGATAGATAGATAGATAGATAGATAGATAGATAGATAGATAGATAGAAACAGTCTGTGATAGATAGATAGATAGATAGATATGAATAAGCTCATTTCAACACTCTCCTTATTGAGATTAATCGCTGTTTCTTGTGTATTTGAAGAATTTATCAATCAACCGACGTTTTTTTTTTTTGTTCTTTTTTTTTTTGCAAAGATAATCATCATCAGAGATCTTTCGACTTGAGCGTACACTACAAATTTAATCTCCACCATATTTGTAAATTTCGGCCAAAGATGAAGGCCTGTTGCCATATTTGCCAGTCCTCACTTTTCAGTCTTGATGAAGTTCAAAAGCCTTTCCGACTCCTTTCTTCCATAGAAAGTGCTCGGACGAACTGTAATTTTTGGTTCTGCCAATACTCCTTAACGTAACACTCTGCCTCGAGTAACCCTCAGGCCTTGAACTGAATGAAACTTACTGTAAAAAAACCCATACCAGTCCAAAGATACCTATCCTGTGCTAACTGACGAAAATTCTAGTGGCCTGCGAAGATTTTTCATGGCGAATGACGGAATTTAAAACTGACCGTTCTTTTAATGCCTTTGTTCAATGTGTATACGACGGTCGTCCGTCCAATGTCTGTAGATCGTATTCTTCCATCTGATATTGATGACAAAACCATTCCCATAATATTTGCTCTGTTTCCAAAGCTATTAAGTTGTGCAATCAAACTCTAATATTAATATAAAATCTTTCATTGGTTTTGATTTGGAGACGACATTATTGCCGTAACTACCAAGGGCCTAATCAACATCTTATTTTAATTTTTTTTTTCACAAGTTTTCTAAGTTTTTATGTCCCGACGATAAAATCTTTCTATAGAAATAAAGATATTAATGAAGGTCTTCTTTAGAAGAAATGTCCAGCTTTTAACAGTTAACAGTCGAATTTGACGTCATTACGTTCTTCGCTAAATAAAAGAAAGAAAAATAAACATCCAGATAAACATACAAAAAAAAAACCCCGATCATTTGCAGTATTTACATTATTCGGACTGTTATCCTCATCTTCATTGCCATATTCACAACGTTTCGGCCTCTATATCTCTGAGATGAGGTATTATGATTACTTGCGTTATTTACATTATTCGAACTATTATCCTCATCTTCATCGCCATATTCACCACCTTTCGGTCGTTGTACGCTTCGGCCTTCATCAGGTGATTGGAATTTTGAATCGAACCCTTTATTTCGTCCACCGGGGTAGATTGTTCTAATTCCACGTACCACGCTACATCCGGATGTCTCAGTTATTTTCCTTTAACTCAACTCTCCAAGATTTTGGTTCACCACAACTGTGGCCTGGTACTGAACTCGCAACGCTTTGATACTAGTCACTGGATCTAAACAACGTCTTTATCCACTGGGCCATGTGTCCTTGTGAACCCAAACTTGGAGTTTTGAGTTAAAAGGGAAATAACTGAGACATCCGAAAGAGGCATGACACGTGGAACTAGATCAATCTACCCCGTTGAATGAAATAAACGGTTCAGTTCGAAATTCTAATCATCTGAGGAAGGCCGAAGCGTACAACTGCCGAAACGCTATGAATGTGACAATGATGATAAAGATAACAGTCCGAATAATGTAAATAATGCAAGTAATCATAATAAAACATCTCAGATATATAGACAGATATTGAAGAAAAATTCCAATCACCTGAAAGAGGCCGAAACGTTCAACGGCCGAAATGTTGCGAATGTGGCAACGAAAATGAGGAAAACAGTTTGAATAATGCAAATAATGTAAATAATCATAATACCTCATCTCAGAGATATAGAGGCCGAAACGTTGTGAATATAGCAATGAAGATGGGGATAATAATGTAAATAATCCAAGTATTCTGATGATGACCTGCTTTTCTACCTTGAGTGACTCTCGCACCTTGAATTAGGTTAACTTTATTTAAATTTTTGAGAATTGATTTCATTTTGTTGAGGATCATTTTATTTAATTAGGGATTTTTTTTACGGCTAGAGTTCAGAAATTCTAACTATTCATGCAGTGATTCCTGTATTTCTAGCCACCAACGAAGAATCCAATTTATTCAAAAGAACGCAAGCGCTGTTAGTTTAATAAGCCAATTGAGACGAAGCTCCCGAAGTGGGATAATTCGACTTAACAATTGTCTTCGCTAAATAACATTTGCTCGACGCTAGAATTCTTCCGAGACGAGTGTGCCCGGCATCGACTCGACATCTTGAGCATCTCCCGTCTGTTATTTGAGTAGCAGTTGTAGACAATACTAACATTGTCATAAAATTATCGTTATTTTTCAATGCAGCTTTTATTAATCCTTATGGTATCCCGCAAAGGTAGATTGTGACAGAAGGTCGTTATTTAATGTGGGGTGCCAATACACCTATATATGAGCATGATAGGAATACTGTTGCTATCCTTCCTTCCATCCTTCCATCCTGCTATCCTTTCATACTTCCTTCCATCATTCCATCCATACCTCCTTTCTTCCATCCTTTGTTCCTTCCATTCTTCCTTCCTTCCATCATTCTATCCTTAATCCTTCCATCCTTCAATCTTTCCACCCTTCCATCCTTCCTTCCTGCTATCTTTCCAACCATTCCTCCTTTCTTCCTTCCATTCTTCCTTCCATCTATCCATCCTTCCATCCTTTCCATCCATTCCTCATTTCTTCCATCCTTCCATCCTTCCATCCTTCCTTCCATCTATCCATCCTTCCATTCTTTCCATCCATTCCTCATTTCTTCCATCCTTCCATCCTTCCTTCCTTCCTTCCTTCCCTCCATCCATCCTTCCATCCATTCTTCCCTCCTTCCATCCTTCCATCTTTCCTTCCTTCCATTCTTCCTTTGATCCTTCCATCCATCCTTCTCTCCATCCTGCCTTCCTTCCTTCTATTCTTCCTTCCTTCCATCATTCCTTCCATTCTTCCGTCCACCCTTCCATCCATACTTTCTTCCTTCCATCCATTCCTTCCTTCCTTCCTTCCTTCGTTCCTTCCTTCCTTCCTTTCTTTCTTCCTTCCTTCCATCTTTTCTTCCCTCCATTCATCCTTTGATCCTTTCACCCATCCTTCCTTCCTTCCATTCTTCCTTCCATCCATTCCTCCTTCCTTCCATTCTTCCGTCCACCCTTCCATCTTTCCATCCTTCCATCCATTCCTCCTTCCTTCCATCCTTCCTTTCATTCTTCCTTCCTTCCTTCCTTCCTTCCTTCCTTCCTTCCTTCCTTCCTTCCATACTTTCTCTGATCCTTCCATCCTTCCTTCCTTCCTTCCATTCTTCCTTCCTTCCATCCTTCCTTCCATCCACGCTTCCATCTATCCTTCCATCCTTCCATCCATTCCTCGTTCCTTCCATCCTTCCTTCCATTCTTCCGTTCACCCTTCCATCCATCTTTACATCCATTCCTCATTCCTTCCATCCTTCCATCATTCCTTTCTTCTTTCCTTCCATTGTTCCTTCCATACTTCCATCCATCCTTCCATCCCTTCCTTCTTCCTTCCATCCATCATTCCTTCCATCCTTTCTTCCTTCCTTCAAATGTTTCTTCCATCTTTTCATCCTTCCATCCATTCCTTCTTCCTTCCATGCATCATTCTATCCTTCCATTCATACCTCTTTCTTTCCATCCTTCTATCCTTCCTTTCATTCTTCCTTCCATCCATTCCTCCTTCCTTCCATCCTTCCTTCCTTCCTTCCTTCCCTACCTTCCATTCTTCCTTCCTTCCATCCTTTATTCCATTCTTCCGTCCACCCTTCCCTCCATCTTTCCATCCATTCCTCATTCCTTCCTTCCTTCCTTCCTTCCTTCCATCCATACCTTCTTCCTTCCATCTTTCTATCCATCCTTCCTTCCATCCTTCATTCCTTCCATCCATCCTTCCTTCCTTCCTTCCATCCATCCTTCCTTACATTCCTCCTTCCTTCCATCCTTCCTTCGACTTTCGATCCTTCCATCCATCCTTCCATCCATCCTTCCTTCCTTCCATCCATCCTTCCTTACATTCCTCCTTCCTTCCATCCTTTCTTCGACTTTAGATCCTTCCATCCATCCTTCCATCCATTCCCTCTTCCTTCCATCCTTCCATCCATCATTCCATCCTTCCATCCATTCCTCTTTCTTCCATCCTTCCATCCTTCCTTTCTTCCTTAGTTGCATACATGGGGCATGCTTGGGTGATTTATCGATACCTGATTGACTTGACAGAAGTATTATTTTCTGCGGTAGAGTGGTTTCCAATCAAAGGTGTATGGCAAAGTCTGTACTGCCATTTAGCCCATAACTTTATCTACCGCAAGGAAAGTTGGTTACCTGTGTCGCGCCAGAAAGATTTTCTCGCCCGAGTCCATCCTTCAAATCTATAAATCAACTATTCACCCTTGCATGGAATAATGCTGTCATATATGATCTGGTGCCCCTGTTGTTCGTCATAGGGTCCTCGACAAAATCCAGAGACGCAATGTGGTTGGCCCCGCATCTGCTATCTCGTTTACAGTCGCTCTCTCACAGACGTTCCGTCGCTTCCCTCTGTCTTTTCTACAAATACTTTCACAGTAAATGCTTCGACGAGGTGTTTTCGCTAGTTCTCAAACTGCATAAATTTAAATGTTCCATTAGGTCGGCATCTCAATTCCACCCTTTGAATGTCGAAACGGTTAAATGCAGCTGTCTCTTCTACTCCTACAGCTTCATGTCTCGCACTTCCCGTCTGTGGAACTCCCTTCCTCTTACTCGCTTCCCTGATAGCTATAATCTTCAAATAGTCAAATGCAATGTCAATCGGCATCTCCAGATGCCCTGAACTATTCCCTGTCCTTCTCTTCATCCTTTTCTCTATCACGCCTCTTTACTCTTGCTCCAACTTTCTGTAAAACCTTGCGTGCTAGTGGCAAAAAAAAAAAAACAAAAAAAAAAACTTTGGAGAGAATTGACAGATTCATGCCTTTCTCCTGGGGTATTTGTACATAAGCGAATTATTTGAAAATTTGATTGGAATTCAACTCACCACTTTCTCAAATCGAGACTTCATCCATTAGCTCACCCAGACATCGAAGCTTACAGCACCTGGTATCCCCAAGCTGTCACCCATCTAAGTAACTGACCAGTTTTGACGTTGCTTGGTAATCGGAAATATACCCTCTAAAAGCTAAGCAAATTATTGAGTAATAGGAAAATTTCGTTAGAAAGAAAAAGAAATCCAATTGAAATGCCATGTGATATCCATAGGAGTGAATGCTGGATAGTTTTCCTCACAGACGAAAAGGGAACTTGAGGCAACAACAGTGTTGCTCTACAGAAGGATGCTGAGAATGCCATAAATAAAACATGCTATTAACGAGGAAGTTTTAATGAAAATGATAACAAAACGATCCATATACATAGGACACATAATGAGTAGCAAGAATTTGACAATTACAAGACATCGAAACGTTCAGAAAGTTGGAGTAAGATACATTACTTAGAGTTAAAAATGATCGGAAGTTGTAGAGAGCTATAATCGCCCACGTCCTGAAGAGACATTTCTCCATTTAAAAAAAAAGTAAATAGATAACAGAACAAGAACAAAAAGAGAGGGTAAATCTTCAAGAGTTACATAACGCAACGAGGTATAGAATGTTGAGGAGAGCCACAACCAGTCACATTTTGACAGACATGGTACATAGAAGGAGTGGTAGAAGATGTCATCTAACAGCAAAAACTTAGTCATCATCATTTATGTGTCATCTCTTTTCGGAAGATGAACGATCAAGGCTCTCCACAATTTCAACTGACATGGATCTCTTGCTTTGGAATCGATAATTCGATCCGGTGAATATGGAATGGCAGATCCTAAATGAACGGATGGAACTAAGGAATATAGATCGTTGGAACATTTAGCATGGAATTAGTGATAAATTGAAAGAAAGAAACTGTAGGTTTGAAAATAGTTCATCACCCACAAGGCCGCATCTCTGAAATTTGATAAGAAAATACGTGAACCAGTCGGCACTGATTAACCTTTCTGGTACGTTTTTTCGTAAGCATTGAAGTTCAATGCAAAAGATTTTGGTAAAAACATAACCCTTATAAATGTGCTTGACCGATTCTTTTTTCGGATTATCAACCCTTTGTAGGTTATTTAAAGCCAGAAAATATTTTTAGAATGTAAGAATTTATTTTTTGATAATAATGGCTTGGTGATACAATTCTTACTAATTAACCCATAGCTGGGAGAGAAAAGAGGTGGATTCATGCCTGTCACAAGGCTATTTGAACGTAAATGACTATAAGGAAATCAACGGGGATTGGAACTCGATTCTCCAATTAAAAATCCCGAGACATATTCCACTGCATCAACCGCACATCCAATCTTACAGCATCTCGTTCTGAGTATGACGATAAACTACATCCGGCAGCAAGGTCTCTTCACATTTTGACGGGACATGGTACATAGAAGGAGTGGTAGAAGATGTTATCTAACAGCAAAAACTTAGTCATCATCATTTATGTGTCATCTCTTTTCGGAAGATGAACGATCATGGCTCTCCACAATTTCCATCTGATATGGATCGATTCGCACCAATTAATTGAATAAGTTGCTTCATGTTTTTCTTTATCATTACTTTTCTCAGTACGTACTGTTAGTATTATATTTTCCAAACCTCATAATGAGCGCCAGAAATTTCAAATGTCTCTTTTTGATTTTAAATAGGAAGGCATTTCTCGTTCTTTGTTACAAGTTCTGTTTATGGTGTTTCATCATTTCTGTTGTTAATGATAAGATCTTTTTTACTGACTTTCCTTCGCCTTTCTCTCCAGGAGTTCTTTTTTCTGTGTCTGCTATTAGCACAGTGCCATACAGCCATTATTCCTAATGCGCTTTCTCTGCAGTTGGTTATTCCGTGGGCTAAAAGCAGTAAAGTTATCGCATATTTATTCGCAGAATGCTACGTGGGGCGGATAATGATCTCACTAATGTGGGAGCAGCCCCAGGACAATTGATTGCAAGTGCTTTTGATATTAACCCTGCTCAACTCATTTATGTTCAGTGATAAGTGATCTGACAGTATAATGGTGTGTGTTTGGGTAAAGGCGAAATGAATGTACGATCTATAAAAAAAAACGAGAATTAATGCACTTTCTATGGAATCGGCAGTTCCAGACAATAAAGAAATCGATAATGCCGCTCCTGATTGCGTAAATATCTACTGCTGTTGGTAATTCACTCAAACACATTTAAACTTACGGGTACATCATGTCAAAACACCGGTTGCCGTACAATCACCATAGTTAAGCAACGTCAAGCCTGGTCAGTACTTCGATGGGTGAAGGCTTGGGAATATCAGGTGATGTCACCTTAGATGGATTGGAGGTACGATTTACGATCACACCATATCTTGACACCGGTTTCCGTACGATCACCGTAGTTAAGCAACGTTGAGACTGGTCAGTACTTCGATGGGTAAAGACTTGGGAATACCAGGTGATGTAACCTTGGATTTGCAGGAAGTACAACTTACGACCACATCACGTCGAAACACCGATTCCCGTAAGATCACCGAAGTTAAGAAACGTCGAGCCTGTTAAGTACTTAATTGGGTGACCACTTGGGGATATCAGGTGCTGTAACCTTGGATGTGCGGGGGGTACGACATATGACCATATCAAGTTGAAACACCGATTCTTGTAAGATCACCGAAGTTAAGCAACGTCGAGCCTGGTCAGTACTTAGATGGGTGACTGCTTGGAAATACCAGATGCTGTAACCTTAGTTGTGCACGAGGTACAACTTACGACCACATCACCTTGAACCACCGATTCCCCTAAGTTAAGCAACGTCGAGCCTGGTCAGTACTTAGATGGGTGACTGCTTGGAAATACCAGATGCTGTAACCTTAGATGTACGGGAGGTACGACATGGAACCACATTCCTATAAGATTACCGAAGTTAAGCAACGTCGAGCCTGGTCAGTACTTCGATAGGTGACTTCTTCGGAATACCATGTGCTGTAACCTTAGATGTTTATGCCGATGATACAACGATATACAGGCGGGCAAACCTCTAAAAGTCTTGGAGATTGCAGCTGGCATCTTTTCCAATCTAATACTAACTTCCCAGTGGTAAAAACTGGTTGGTTAGATTCAATGGCTCTAAAATCAGACTGGTTACATTCCATCATCGCCGATCAAACCCCAACTACCGCCAGTCACGATGAAGGGTTGTCCCCCCTCAAGGATACTCCGTACCTCGAGAGAATATTGGGCTTCAAACTCGCACCTGACATCAAGTGGAATTTCTATATACAATCTATAGTTAAAGATGCAGGTAAAATGACTTGACTCCAGTTCATCTTTGGAGTTACAGGGAGTTTTGTTGGCCTCTCGATCAACTGCGCTCCACGTGTAATGTCCAAGGGGTTTGCAGTCTGGGGAATTAGGTGGGCAGATGTAAGGCGTGATGTGGTCGCAGAAATTGGTTAACAGCCATGATTGGGTTCTCCATGTGTGGCATGGCGTAGAGACATGTTGCCAGACATAGGATCTTCCAGCAGCCAGCCTCTTGATCGAGGAGAAATTGGTGAAGGTCTTCGTGTTGAGTCTGAAAGCCCAGTCGGAAGATGAATGGAGGCATAACATCGTCATCACTAGTGATAACTCCAAATATCTTGGTAATCACCATTAAACTCATCCAACTCTTTCTGAATCATCTGCACTCTCCTAAGATTGACACCCAAACATACTGAAATGTTTGTATTGGAGTTTCTCGTGCGAATGCCAAGCAGTACAGCATGCCGTTCCCAAATTTCTGGCGGAGTGAATATTGTCATGTTGCTCTTTTTCTCACAGACGGTGCCCAACTGACCTGACTATACTCTACAAAAAAATCAAACAAAACACATTAAATTAAAAAATATATAAAATGGCGACAATTTACCCATCGCACGCTATATATATATATATATATATATATATATATATATATATATATATATATGACCACATTACAATCAAATTGCATTCAGGCCTCAAAGCCACTCTTTATTTATACAAAGGGGGTCTGTAAATAGTTGATATGTATTGTCTCCGGCATTTGCGTTCAAGTCAGAATGTACCTGACACAGAAGAAAGAATATAACCTTCTGATGAGACATAGCGGACTGCTGATTATGTAATTGGCTCTCTGCTCCCTCAGACCCGGATGTATTAACGCACTTATTCATACAAAACAAATGTGTTTAATAAATTTACATAAAGCAAGTTATTCTTACAAGACATTGTTAATAATTCATTTTTCATGCTCCTGAAATATAACCTTGTGTCAAGCAAACCTTATTCGGAAAGCTATAAGAAGCCTTAAGTATAAAGTTCTAGAACAATATTTTCTGAGTCGTGTAAGAGACTGCTCGTTTTCCACAACACCATGGGTAAATTCAACACTTGGTCAGGATTAAATGGATTGACTGACTGGCTGATTGATTCGTTTTTACGGCTTATCAACGCTTTGCAGGTTATTTAAAGCCAGGAAATATTTTTAGATACTAAGAATATATTTTGGTGATAATAATGGTTTATAAGTCTTACTAATTTCTTCTTTTAATTTCTTCTGCTTAATCAATAGATTGATGGTTTCATTCATTTTTTACGGCTTATGAACCTTTTGAATGTTATTTAAAGCCAGAAATATTTTTAGATTCTAAGACTATATTTTAGCGATAATAATGGTTTACAAGTCTTACTAATTCCTTTTAATTTCTTCTGCTTAAACAATAGATTGATTTATTCGTTTTTTACGGTTTAGCAACCCTTTGCAGGTTATTTAAAGCCAGAAAAAATATATTTAGATTGTAAGTATTTTTTGTTTGCAGATAATAACGGTTTAGTGAGAGAAGTCCTATTAATAAAAACCATATATGGGGGAGAAGTTTAGATTCATAACTTTCCCAGGTATATTTGCGCGAACCCAACAGGAATTGGAACTTGGCTCTCCAATTCTAAACCCTTATCCATTACACCACCCACACATCCAAGCTTACAGTACTTGGTATACTCCAGCAGTCACCCATCTAGGTACTGACCAGGCTCGGTATTGCTTTACTTCGGTGATCGTACGAGAACCACTGTTTCAACGTAATATGGCTGTAAGCCTTTTATATCACCCGCAAATCCAAGCTTATAGCACCTGGTATCCCCCGACCCAGCAGACACCCATCTAGATACTGACCAGACTTGACATTGCTTAAATAAGTTGATTGTACGGGAATTGATGTTTTAACGTGATGTTGCCGGGATTAAATAGAAGATAATGAGATATATTTTCGTTAATTTATGCACTTTAATTTCCAGAAAGGAATAAATGCTGTACAATCAGCTCAGGTAGATATCTGCCGTTAGTGAGGATGGTCCTATAGCTGAGGGCAATGTACATAAGTAGTTCACGAGGTTCAGTAGACATTTTGATCTGGAAGTCCGTGAACGTTCCGAAAGGCCAGTTGTCTTTGATGATAACCAAAGCTAAGATGTAGAATTACTGTTAAACTGTTATGAAAAAGGCATGATACGAATGACAGAGGAGGTAGCTGGAAATTAAGGTTAGGGGCATAGGGAGGATAGGTAACAATTGGCAATTGGCTTGAAGAGATTTAGAATGTAGTTGTTGGGGCGCACCCACCTTCTGACTAATAATGGACTTATCCCTCTACGATATAAGTCAGTGCTAGAGAGAGTAGAGGTGTTGATGCGAGGATCAGGTTCAGCGACAGCAGTCGGGATCAGGTTACCATTACATACCGTTGGACTGTACTACTACTGTACTGATGCGGCATTCACCCTGGGCGGATTGAGCCGGCTTCTTCCTGTTATGAGAAGAAGATTCTTGGGATAAATTACAGAAGTAGGGTACCCAGGCCTACTCGGATAACGTTCTTGCTTGCCGCGGGGTTCCCACAGACGCAGAGACAGGAACGACCAGAAGCCGCCGGTTACCGATGCAGACGCTCCTTGGATTTTCACCAGAGCCCTTGTTAGCTGGCGTGTGTGTCAGACCTGTCCGCCTTGGGTGGCCCTACCAGGAACGAAGTTCCGGGCGGCATAGCTCTGACACTACCGTTTACACCCCTCCACCGACTGTGAGGTAAGGGTTGGACTTTGGGGGCTTACAGTACCAGGTGTTCCCAAGCGGTCCCCCATCTAAGTACTGACCTGGCTCTACGCTGGACTGTAGACTTTTGCTATTGTTACTTACTAACCAGCGTTCCTTATTACTAATCACTCTGTGGTTAATTACCTCTTACAAATATACCAGTATTTATCCCTACAACTGTGTTTGTCTTTATTCGAATACACACACGCGGGGAACACTCCCAACAACTCAACAGTAGTGTTTATGATAGCGTCCACACGAGAGTCAGCTCCTCAAATTACACTAGTCTACAATTTTCACAAGATAACTACTTCAAAAATGACATTTTATTTATTTTAAGCATATCACACCAAGCAAGGCAGGAGTGCCACTATCACAAAAGTGGTTACAGAGAGTGAAAGTATGCTTTCTGGGGTGTACTTGAGGAAAGAATAAAGAGTTGTTTCAACGTAATTTGGCTGTAAGCCCTTTATACCCACCTCACATCCAAGCTGATAGAATCTGGTATCCCCCGCCAGCAGTCACCCATCCAGGAAAGGGTTTACAGAGTGTGAAAGCAAGAGCAATGAGGTGATATAGGAAAGGAATATAGAGAAAGACGGGGAATCAGGATCAAGGCATCAGAAGATGTCGATTGACATTAAATTTGAATATTTGAAAAGTATAGCTGTCAGGAGAGCAAGTAAGAGGAAGGGAGTTCCATTGACAGGGAATGCTGGACAGATAAAGAGACTTGAAGCGAGAGAGATGTAGTTCTACAGAAGAATGTTGAGAATACTTTCCACCGAATATGTGAACAACGACGAAGTTCTGGAGACAATTGTACTAAAAGGAAGTACAAGAAGACTTTACGAAGGAACATTGTTTTTCTTGGAGACATCCATTGTACTCATATGTATGAGATAACTATCTCTAAATTTAGAGCCAGTCGTCTAATTTGAATGTTGTTTTCGAATTCAGCTGGAAATAAAACAATATTCAAATTAAATGTTTGGCTCTAAATTTAGAGATAGTTATGTCGTACACATGAGTGCATTGTATGTGTGCACTAAAATGTCGTGAGTACAATTACAATGGATTCTTGCACAATCCCTCTGTAAAGTCTGCTTTGATATTCTGTTGTGTTCTGTGTAGGCTACTAGAGCAACGCATAACCACATCAAGACTTCAATATATGTGTTTATTGAATAAAATACATCAGGAAAATTCTCTACTCAGTGAACAGATTGGAGGAAAGAGGGACTCAGTCAAAAACCGCATAACCTACTTAGTGAGCTTGAGTAAAAAGATGGCTGAACAAATAGAATAACAAAAAAGACATATCTTAAAAGCTATGAAGGACAGGAAATGGTACGTCTGAAATGGTACGTCTGAAATGGTACGTCTGAAAGTGACACGGCACCTTGAGAAGAATGTACTATGGGACTTTTTGTTTACCGTGATGTCCGAAGACACACGCTCGCGCGCGCGCACACACACACACACGCACACACACAATTACACACATACACAAAATTACACACAATTACACACACACACAACTACACATACACACACAATTACACACACACAATAACACACACACAAAATTACACATACATACACAATTACACACACACAATTACACACACAAAAAATTACACACAATTACACATACATACACAATTACACACACACAATTACACACAATTACAAACGCACAATTACACATACACAATTAGACACAATTACGCATACACAATTTCACACTCACAAAATTACACACAATTACACATACACATACAATTGCACACAATTACACATACACACAAAATTACACACACAAAATTACACACAATTACATACATAATTTCACACTCACAAAATTACACACAATTACACATACACACACAATTACGCACACACAAAATTACACACAATTACACATACACAAACAATTACACATACACACAATTACACACACACAATTACACATACACAAACAATTACACACACACACAATTACACACACACAAAATTGCACACAATTACACATGTACATACTCAGAGACCAACCCCTCGGCAAAATAAGTGTAAATATCTACTGTTCATTTTACTTATGTAACTAGGGTCTGAGAATCATGTATCCGGTGCCAACTTGTTCAAATGTCGGCTAACTAAAGTCAATATCCTATCTAATTGCAAATTGATGTATAAATATTCTGGAACATCGAATTCAGTTTTGGGTTTCACGGCGCCAGAATTCTTAAGGTGAGAATCGATAGCTTCTTAAGCAACCATTCCATCACGATTTGTTTTTCTCCATGAGACGGTTTAATTTAATTTCATGTCACATCAACACCACGGGGTTATCTTCATACTCGTTTATAGTAACAAGAAAGCCGCAGTCCACTACCCACCTACCACTAAAAACAGAGGAGAATAGAGAAATCTACCCAGATGAACAAGTGGACTATTATACAAAAGATTGTTTGAAAAATCATCAAAAGTTAGCCATGATCGAGAGACACCTGAAAAGGCCGCATTGCACAACGGTGGTAATAACAACAGAAATCAAGAATTTCTATATCATTGCTTGAATCGGCTTCTAATGCTCAAGGTTGAGCGGCTTGGTGATAGTAGTCGTAGCTCCTGGGGGCACAGTCCTATGGTTAGAGAGAATCTCAGTTGAGTTCCACCACGGAATATGTGAGCGAGCGGCGCCATATTGAGTCTGATTTGTGACCTCTTCGTCACCGAGGCCCGTTGAAACAGTTGGTATGACGTTTACTTAATAACCTTACTGTCCGGGTTTCAATCCTGGGTAGTTGATGCGCATTGCTGATGAGACTCAAATATAGGACGAAACGGCCGTCCAGTGCTTTCTGCATTCTGTTGAGGTTTCTTTCAGACTCGATGAATTACTTAATTAGAAATAAAGATATTCATTCGATTGTACATAACGCAAATCAAAAATAACTTCTTCTTCTATGTGTCGCGTACGTTGGGGATAATGGTTCTCCGCAATTTTCTCTCAATTGCAGCTCTTAATAACTCCTATCATTTTGCCACCTCTTCCAAACACTGATCCACCATCGATTCACTCTAGCTCACCATTTCGTCATACGTTGGTTTCATATGTCTTTCCTACCTTCAATCTGTCTTGCGTATCAAATTTTCTAAGCCATCTTTCCTCATTATGGGCCCGAGAAATTTCAACTTGTTCTTCCTGAAGTTAAGCAGAATTATCCTTTTTGCGACCATTGTCTCTAGAACTTCGACGTGGCTCACATATTCGCGAAATAGTATTCTCAACATACTTCTGTAGAATTACATCTCTGACGCTTCAAGTCTCTAGTTTATCTGTGAGGAGATTGTCCAACACCCACTGCCATATAGGAGATTAGATATTACATAGCCGTCCAACACTCTTTTCTTTGATTTTCATTCAAGGACACTCATTACATAGAACCACATCTCTGTCGCTTCAAGTCTCTTCTTCATCTCATCTGAGGAGATTGTCCAGCATTCACTGCCATATAGGAGATTAGATATTACATAGCCGTCCAACACTCTTTTTCTTTTTTTTCTAAGGACACTCTTCAGTAGAACCACATCTCTGTCTTCAAGTCTCTTCTTCATCTGTGAGGAGATTGTCCAGCATTCACTGCCATATGGGGAGATTAGATATTACATAGCCGTCCAACACTCTTTTCTTTGTTTCTAAGGACACACGCCAGTAGAACCACATCTCTGTCGCTTCAAGTCTCTTCTTCATCTGTGAGGAGATTGTCAAGCATTCACTGCCATATAGAAGATTAGATATTACATAGCCGTCCAACACTCTTTTCTTTGTTTCTAAGGACATCTCTGTCAAGTGAGGAACCAGCATTCTCTGTCGCTTCAAGTCCAACACTCTTTTCTTTGTTTTCATCTGTGAGGAGATTGTTCAAGCATTCACTGCCATATGGGAGATTAAATATTACATAGCCGTCCAACACTCTTTTCTTTCCTTCTAAGGAC